GGTCTGTGTGCTCTGTGCTGTAATCTGTGTTCTGTCTCAGGTCCGTGTGCTTTGGGTTGAGATCACTACTCTGTCTGCAGGTCTGTGTAGTCTGGGCTGTGCGCTGTCATCCTATGTCCGCTGCTCCTTCCTGCTGATTGTTCCCAGCACACTTGGGTCTCGGGGGCGGTCCTACTTGATGGTATTCCTCCTGGCAGGTCTCTTCCATGGTAAACAAATACTTTCATAATACATATATACAGTACGATAAGCTTTTATTTTGGTTTCTCATTTCCAGACATCTATAACCCTTTAACTAAAGTAGTGCCTCTTATTTTGTTAACCTAAATACATCATCTTATGTTGTGAAGGTTTTCTTTTAACTGCAGGTGTTGTTTTGTGCTGTTGGACAGGACCCATCTCCAACATCCATCACAATGTGCAGGACATCGCCCTCTCTCTGGGATGCAACATGGAGCTGCAGATGAACCACAGCAGGGTGATGTGGAGGGTGCTGATGGAGCCCTTCAAGAAGGTGGTGCAGGACATTGCAGTGAGTGGAAGAAGCCCACTGAGTGTTTGAGAGTGGACTGACAGTGAGAATGCAGACAGGGGTACAGTAAGACCAAGGAGAGAGACAGAGCAATACAATAAAAACAATTACTTATGCTTAGATGGTACTCTTCTGGACACTCCACTCAAAGCTCTTTGCAGTTAATGGGAACTCCCTTCCTCCACCACCGGTGTGCAGCCCCACCTTGATGATGCGCCAGGCCTCTCACCACACATCAGCTAGCAGTGGAGAGGAGAATAGAGTAATGAAGCCAACTCATAGATGGGGATTATTAGGAAGCAGTGAATGGTAAAGGCCAGGGGGAAATTTGGCCAGGCCAAACACCCATACTCAAGAAATGTCCTGGAATTTTTAATGACCACAGAGAGTCTGGACCTCGATTTTCCATTTCATCTGAAGGATGGCACTTTTTAAACAGTATAGTGTCCACGTCACTATATTGTAGTATTAGGACCCACATTGACCACAGAGTGAGTGCACCCTACTGTCCTCACTAAAACCTCTTCCAGCAGCAAATTTACTTTTTCCCATGAGGTCTCTCATCCAGCTACTGGCCAGGCTCACACCTGCTGAGCTTCTGTGGGTTGCCAGTTGTGAGGGTGATATAGCTGCTGGCTATAAAACAAGGTAGAGACAGTGAGAGGTTTGTTTCAGTTTAGCTGGCGATTGTTGTGTTTGTTGTGCCTTGTGTTATCGTGGTGTGTCCTCTCTCTCCTGACCTCAGGGGCAAAAGGACAAGTTTGAGCAGGAAGCCCAGGCGGTGCGAAGGAGGTTCCAGGAAGTGAGGGAGCAGGTGCTGGGGGAGTATGGGTACAGTGCTCTGCCCCGGGAGCCCACTCTCAGGGGCCACAGCACCCAGGACATGTTTGCTGCCAAGACCATGCTGCGCTGTGACTGTGAGTACAGGACCCAGGCTTGAAGTAGGAGGAAACAACAAGGAGAGGGAGAGTGCGAGAGAGTTCAGCAACAAATATTGCTGGTGCACAAAGCCAGTGAGCATGTAGACAGCTCTGTTAGTTGGTCTGCTTGAGAAGGCTGTGTCTGTACCCCTGGCGAGCGGAGGCGATGGGTCAGTACAAACCATGGCATCATTCACAAAGCAGCTGGAGTGGATCCCGAGATCGAGATGTGTTACTAACAGTTGAGCAGGAGAGACTAATTGCATGTTTTACTGCTGTGTCTTAAAGGGTTGATAAGACTATAGACTGTGAACAGGGCTGGACCCTGCCTGCAGCTCTTCTCACCCTGCTCCACTGAGTGAATAACAGTCTCTGTCTCTCTTTCTCTGTTTCATTGTAGTGGAGAAGGGTGTCTCTCTATTTCTGATATTCACGAGTGTTTCCAATGTATATGGCAGTGTCACCATCCTCTAGTGTGAACACAGCAGATGTCGGAAGCCCATCACAGCTGGGCTAGGGGCAGCACTAAGAGACCTTCAAGGAAAACCAGAATCCCCAGGATGTGGGTGTAAGGGGTATTAGAGGGCCAGACGGTGGACCTGTCTGGACCTGAATATTCCAAAAACCAGGCCCAGTATGGTGACCAGGGCCACTGTGCTTCAGGAGGTGCCATCCTTTAGATTAATAATATGACTGAGACACTGACTAGTTGGTCATTAAAGGGCTCTGTTTGTAAGAGTAAGGGTGTCCACCCTGGTGTCCTGGATAAATTGTACTGTAGGTTGTACAGTCTGGCTTTCCCCTTAATTCAACTGGTAAAGCAGTTTCTCACTCCTCCCCATGATCAGTTGTTTAGCGGGACTGTTGGCAAATAAATAACTGATTTACCACTGGCTGAGGCTGCAGTTCAGTGGTAAATCAATTGGAACATTTCCTTGTTATGCCATGGCTGCACACCAGGCACAGCCACGGGTGAGATTGGTCTGAATCCAAGCGCAAGAGACGGGGGGTTCCGGAGCAGCCTGACAAGACCCGACTGTAAGGGGATCAAGTACTCTGGAGCAATTGAGGGAAACTGAAGGAAATATAGCCAGGGAAAATAAGAAAATACATGCCCAGCAGTCCGGGAGTAAACCAGCCTATTGCACCTCAGGCAACCGAGGCTGGCTTAGCCCAACACCAGCCCTGAGCGAGCTGTCACCATAGTCCGCTGGTCGGGGAGTGGGAGAACAGTCTCCAGGATCTGTTCAATCTCTTCACCTTAGGAGCAAACCCTCCTGGGGCCCCACCGTGGTCCCAGAGAGAGAGGCCATGCGGACCTGGTGGACAGCCCGCCAGACTCACCCGGGGTGTGAAGGCGGACTGGCGGACTGAAGCACAGAAAAGAAAAGTGCAGGATACGAATGAGCCACCCTCTCCCCCAGCTTTGCCACGTCTAGTAGGCTGCCCAGCACAGAAGGGTTCGGCCATATTGCAACAGACTGGTCAGGAGACTCCAGTCTGGCAGTCTGGTCAGAGGGCACCAGGTGGTCTCCTCCTGATACCAGGCCAGGCATGTGCTGTCGGGGCCTGGGCAGGATAGGATGAAACCAGACTCCCTGGTGCGTGATGGACTTCCAGACAGAGACATCTGCTGAGGATCCATCCTTGACTTAGTCCCGTCTCCAGGTCCTTTCTCTACTCCCGGAAGCCTCCAGACAGAGCTCCCAGATGGGGGAATGAAATCCCAAAACAAGGAAGGTTCTGCTTCTACCCTGGATGTTGGCACAGAAAAGAAGAAAGAGAAAAGAGAGAAGGAACAAGTGTAGGGCGAAGAATGGGACAAGAGCAGTGTGCAGGATGAAGAGTAAGACTAGGCACCTGTCAGGTGAATGCTGGCACTGCAGAGCTGAAGTTCAGGACACCAGATTGGAGTTCAGGACAAAGATTAGACAAGCAGCGCTGCTGGACAAGGACTAGAGAAACAGCACAGGCTGCATCGGCGGTGTAGACGCCGTGGATAGAGCAGGCTGCTTCAGCTGTGTATTAGGAAGGAGCCACTCTAGGAGAAGAGCGTGGCTCTGGACGAAGGCGGTTCCCCCAGAAGAGAGCTGAAATAAGGGCCGCTGAGGAGAGGTCCAGAATTCCAGGGCAGAACAGACTGCCAAGAGACAAGGGGCTGATGAAGAAGCCTGCAGAAACTGGACAGAAGAGAGTGTGGACTTAAGGAAGGGCAGTACTGCTGGAGGGAGAAGATGAATGACAAAGCACAGCTGTAGAAGCACTTCTGGAATTTGAGGGAATTGAGTAATAGAATAATTGGTGAAAACTGATTTACAGCGGTAAGCCATGGGAAACCATGAGCCCTCGTCAAAATGCTTCTTTTTCCCAGGGCAACCATAGGCCAGGAGATGGCACAGGACGCCAGGTATAGATTTCTGACATATAAAATGCTCTAGGATCTTTTGGGTTTAAAAGCACTAGAGCAATTGATTTCTCTAATTATGAATTAAATAGCAGCTTCTCTCTCTGTCAGCTGTGGTGGAGGAGGGGATCTCTCGCTGTCGGCTCTGGTTCCACGGGAAGTGGGAGGAGTGTATGCGCACCATCGCTGTCCCGCTGCTCAACCACCTGCTGTGTCTGCCTATGACCTTCAGCTTCCTGTGTGACATCATGAGAGGTAACCCTGCTGCTGGTTCTCTGTTCGCTGGGGTGCAGTTTACTTCAGCCTTGCTGGGTGGCCTGTGATCTTTAATATGGTCTCCATCTGACCCACACCTACATTTTGTGTTATCTTCAGCTGGCCTGGAATGGATTTTCCTGTTATAATGCACACAGGGTTGCTCAATAGCTCTAGAAGGTGTCAGCTATAAGGCAACTGCCAAAGAGCATTTATAGGTAGCTCAGCCAGCAAAGCCAATCCTTCGAAGCACAGGTTTATCCTTGTAGTGCAGCCATCAGCAGTTCCAGTCTGAGGTATAGTAAGCTTAGCTCACAGGGAGCAACATTTCTTAAATATGGCAACACAACATTGGGTGAGCTCTGGCAGAGTTGAGTGTTGGGTTAGGTTTTGATGTTTATCGTCATAATTTGGAAAATTGAATTTTTCCAAGCAACAGCACCTCCCTGTGGTTGACCAGATGCCTGTTGGCTTGCAGTGCTGCCAATGAGAACGTTAGGTCTCCCTCCAGTGCCTTTACTATGCTGTGATTTCTGTGCTCACAGTGTGAAAGGAAGCATGGCTTGACATTGCATTGGATAAGGCTGAAGAGTGGGATGTACAAGTGGGCTGGGTTGGTCAAAAATGTTTTTTTTCAGGCTGACCTATCAAAAGTAAGAAATCATTTGTGCTTACAAATTCTAGTAGAACAGACTGCCTGGTTTGTCTGAATGAGTGTAACTGCTCTGGACCCAGTGGGCTGCCTTGGTGAAAACACTGCACAGAAACTTACTGTGATCGTGGTGTGTCTACAGTCATGACCCCCTGGTGCAGAGAGAGGATCCCAGTGGAGGGTAACTTCGGGCAGACGTACGACAAGCTGAACGCCTCCATCGAGAGCCTGGGAGATGGCTTCAGCACCACTGTAGTCTTCAGGGTAGGCCTGTCTGTCCTCCCTTGCCCTAGGATTACCCATCAGTCTGAAACCAAACACCACCGGGTGTTCTCCTGTTGTAACCCAGATGTTTACAATATGTGTAATCCCCTCTTGGGGAAACTCTCAAGCACCTAATCCAGGGTGTGCTCCCAGGCTGCCACCTCACCGAACAGTGTCCAGTGCTTGCACATGGTAATATGTAGATGTGGATGTGAGCAGAACATTGTAACCACCGCTTGTGAAGATGATCACTAAATTAAGAAGAGGGATGACCAACCAACCAATTGATTTCCACATGATAAATTAATCTCAGAAGCAGATACAATGAATTCTGTCTCTAACTGTGTATCTATGGGGGTCCGCTGCCACTGTGGAGGGACAAAATAAATTGAATGTGCATTAGAAGCAAGAGAACTACAACATGAACTTGAAGAAAAGAACATAAGCAGTGTAATGTGTTGATGTGCTTCTTTCTGACTAAGGTTAGCTCCACTTTTCTGAACAGAATAGTGTTCCTCACTCCTCATCCTGGAGAGCACTTAAGGCTCTATAAAGACCTTAAATGCCTCATGGTAACAATTAAGGTCAATTCATTCACTGAGAGTTCAGATAAAGGATATGTAAAACCAGAAGTTCCTGTGGCTCTGCAGGACAGAGCAATGAGAGGCACTGATTTACAGTGTAATTCTGTGGATTTCATAGTGATAGAGAGATATCACTGAAATCCAAATGTGATAGCTGGGCAGAATGGTCTCCTCTCATGTGCGGGCTCTTATGTTTGCTATCCTGTGCTCTCTCCACACTGTTCAGGTCCCCCATTATCTTTTCCCCCAGTGTATGAATGATCAGAGGTGGGCTGGAGTCAGCTGCTTAACTCTGTGGTGTGACCACACAGGCTGGACAAAGAGTGACAATGTCCCATATGAGATCACAGGCTGCTGTAATGGGTCTCCCTCTCTCTTGCCGTTTCTCTCTCTGCAGAAGACCGAGCAGCAGACTTTGCTAGGGACAGCTTTCTCCCAGGCCCAGATCAGAGAGGAGCTCCGACAGACCTTCCTGGAGAAGAAGCTTGTGATGGAGCAGCTGGTGGACTTCATCCAACTGCTACTGTCCTGCACCTTTGTCTTCATCCTCCTCTCGTAAGTCTCATGCTGCCTGAAACCTGTTGTGTTATGTGGCCCTGTCAAATGGTCCTGACTACGCAGATCAATAGTCTCTCCCTGAGAGACTCTTCTCTGATTAGAAAGTGGGCGGTGAGGACCAGAGTTGAGAGGCACTGCAACACTGAGGAAATACTCCACTTAATCTAAATAGAGAACCGTATATTACAAGCAGGTGAATAAAATATGGAAAACAGGAATTACAATGTGTGGTCAGGGTCTGGAACAAGCTTCCCAGTTATGTTGCTGAAGATAAATCTCTGTGATCCTTCTTGAAACAATGCAATGAAACTCTGTGGTAAATTAACTACTATCAATCAAGTGATCAATAAGGACGTCTTGTTCTCCTATGTTCATATTGTCTAATGTATAGGGCCATGACTTGTCCACCCTCTCTCTTCTTCTTTCTGTCTCTCCCTGGCTTGGTGAAGGGCGTATGGATACACCAGGAACTACCTCCGAGACGTTCGCTTTGACAACGTCTACGTCACCACCTACTTCCGGCAGATTGACGCTCGCAGAAGGCAACTGGTATGACATGAGTTACAGTTGCTATGACACAGGATTTACTGGAGCTCTGGGGCACAACTGTTCCTCACTGAATCAGTCAGGTGGTAACGGGAGGAGGACTAGTAGACAGACGCAAATCAGGAATAAATCTGAAGTACGTCAAAGAGTGACAAAACAAGGCAAAGCCAGTTCTTTAGGGCCAGATGGTATTTTCATTTTAATTAGCATCTCTTTAAGATCTAATACATAGCAGGCAACCTCTTATCCAAAGATACTGCATATCATGTCATATACAGCACTAATTACTAGCTCAACTGTAAGTTAGGCAAAGTCTACATTTTCTACAGCTGTGCTAATCAGTTTTTATTTAGTTGCTCATTTCATTTGATTGTTAATCTTAACAGAACAGCATGGTGCAGTAGTTAGTATTGCTGCCCAACTGCTTATAAATATTCACATGAAAGGAGAAATAGGTCATTATTAGTTAAATGGTTAAGAGTTGGATGTGCACATGGGTGTTAAGTCTGTTTGGTACAGAAAGAGTCTGCATGATGCTACTGATGTTGGGTGTCTTCTGAAACTGCTTTTTCCATTTTATGGCTGAAACTGTATTAAAAAAGACCTCTTGGAATGTACTTATTTTTGTTATTATGAGTTTTATAAGTGTAGATCTGGGCAGCACAGCAGTGCAGCAGTTAGCACTGCTGCCTCACAGTACTGGGGCCCTGGGTTCAATTCCAGACCTGGGGTGCTGTCTGTGTGGAGTATGTGCTTCAGTTGCCTCCCACAGTCCAAAGACATGCCGGGAGGATAATTGGCTTCTGGGAAAACTGACCCTGGTACGAGTGTGTGTGTTTCTGTGTCTTTGTGGGCTCTGTGATGGACTGGCGTCCCGTCCAGGGTCGCTTGCTGGGATGGACTCCAGCTTCCCTGCACCCCTGAATTGGAAGAAACAGTCAGAATTGGTGGGTGCGGTGGTTCTGTGGCTAAGCATTTGCTCCTGTAGCTGGATGGTTGCAGGTTCGAATCCTGTGACCGGCAGAAGAATAAATGTGCTGTATAAATGGCTGACCCTGTGCTCTGACCCCCAGCTTCTCTCCCTGTCTGTGTGTCTCAAGGAGAGCAAGTTGGGGTATGTGAAAAGACAAATTCCTAATCCAAGAAATTGTATATGGCTAATAAAGATCTTATCTCTTATCAAGTGCATTAATACAGGGAAGGTTTTCCACCCCTCAACTTTCCTTTAGGAAACCTCTCTCTGTTTAACTGTGTGTTACTTCACTGTACTGGTTTATTTGCTAAGGAAAGTCTGCTGCAGCTGCGGCTCTCTCGGTGCTCAGTATCAAGCAGCACTGAGCGCTGAAGAGCAGTCTCTGTTGCTCCAGGGAAAACGACACCTGCTGCCACTGAAGAAGGCAGAGAAGCCTGACTTCATCTTCCCCTGGAGCCCCTGCGCGCACTCCTGTGAGCTCCGGATTCTCGTACGTCCGTTCTCTTTCCTTTCTGCTGCGATCAGATGGCTGCTGCAGGGGTTCAGCTCTCTGTCACACATCACCCAGCTCTTCCTAGTGGACAGCAGAGGGTGCCAGAGACTCTCACATGCAGCATCACTGGCCACATGCATCCTTCACATTTTTAAAATTAGCTGGATCTCTCTTTTTATTACAGACTGTTCATATTTAGTTTCTTTTTGTGTCATTAAGTCCGGCTGCTGCCCTTTTTCGTCCTCTTTCCTCTATGCTTATGTGCATGCTTATCTTGGCTGTTCTCATCTGTAGGTGCTTGGCCTCCTGCAGGTCATCCCTCTGTGCCTCTTCATAGGAACCTTGCTGGCCGTCGACTGGCTCCTCTACCGGATATTTACCATCATCCGCTCCCACTCCTACACTCAATACTCCTTCACCAGTGAGTCCACACCGTCCCTCTTGGACTGAGCCATCCTTCGTCAGTGAGTCATCTCTGTCACTTTCTCGCTGAGCATGCCTTCACCTGTGAGTCCATGCAGTTAGTTCTAGATCATGAGTGTTTCATCACTGTCACACCTAGACTGGACAGACCACACCTTAACCAGTGTGTCCATACTGTCACTCTCCACGCTGAGTGTCAGAATTAGTGATGCAAGGTGGCTCGTTCCAAGGCTGGGCAGTTTGTGTCGGGCATTCTCTTGGATCCCTGTGTGAAGATGAGCCTCCCTTTCTCCCTTCTCCTCGTCATGCTTGTGATGTCTCGTCAGGTTCCCACCACATTGAGATCACCATAGGGGGCCAGTCCATGATGGCCACTCTGCTGCGGAAAACCATCGGGGCCTTCAACATCTCCTCCAGCATGGACATGAGGACCAGCAACACGCGTATGTGCCCTGACTCACTAGACTGAGTGCTATTGCAGCAGTGTTGGGGAGTGTCCTACCTTTCCACTTGGTTTCATGAGCATGGTGTTGTTATGTTGAAGCTCAGACTTGGGCGATAACAATCTCAATGTTCTGCAATCAAAGGTCGATTAATCAACCCCACTCACACGGTCTTCTCTTCGCTGATCATTGCTGTGCCAGAGACCCCTGTGCTTGTTGCTATTCCAACGCAACACCCAGTCTTTTCATTGAGCTAATAGGTCACTTACAGTAACTACTCCTTTCATTCCATTGATTTCAGACTTTCAGGTCTTACACAGCTAAGAATATCAAGATGATGGTGAGATGTTATGAGTGAGATCTAAAATACTGTAGGAGCTACAAACAATTCCAAGGGTGTGATTAAAGTCATGATGCATGACTTGTCTTAAATGAGAGAGAAGACAGAGGCTTTCTGCTTTGCTTTTGATAACTGACAATTACAAATGAAGGAAATTTGTAGTAAATTTAGTAAATGTAGGAAATTTGAAGGAAATTTGTATTATTTGTAGTTTATTGTCCCAGTTGGGAAATTCGCTTTGGAGCCAGATAGAGACATGCATAACGCATTTGACACAACATGGATCAATTTTCTAACAAATCTATGAATATTTCAAATAAAAAACAAGTCTGAAGCTTTAACTTATCCCCACTATCCCAAAAAATGAAAAATTGAGGTGTCAGTGTGTGAAATAGACAAAACACATTCTGTAAATAAAGTACATACATTATGAAAAGAAATATATAACGATTACTTGTGTACACTGAGCAGGTTAATAGCCATAGGAATAAAGATGACTTGGTCTACCTGTGCTCTTCGCTTGTAGACTGTCTGCCCCAGCCTCGCGCCCTGAGCCAATCAGCGTACCTGTGGAGTACCCTGCCCCTCCTGCTGATGGTGCTGCTGTGCTGGGTGCAGATTTACAGTAACCGGCTTCGGAGAGTCATCGCTGCCTTCTTCTTCCCCAAGGTCAGTGTTGTGCACTCCCTAGCGTGCCAGACACCAGCTGCTGGTCACCGTGATGTCACATTAAACCACCTACTGCAACAATAAGACAGGAAAAACCTCCATAACATACTGACCCATGACCTCAAACAGAAACTCAAAAGAAGCTCTATTGCTGTTGCTATTTATCAGAATCTTACAGCTTTTAGATTGACCCCTGACGTTGTTTTTACTCAATTTCACAATTTAGTCTGCTAAATGGTGTGGCAATGGAGGTCAGTAAACTGGGTGACTGGGTTTCAAGTACATATCTTAGGCTCAAGGTGCTCAACCTTGACTGTTCACTGAGCTCTGCCTGGGCGTCTCTGTCCAGAAAATCAAATAATATACCCCCTATTAAGACATCCCATGGCAGAAAAGTATAAAGATATTAAGTATTTAGTTTGAGGTACCCAATGTTATTTTTACACTGGGGTTTAGTATTGTGATTGCAGGATAAAAATACTTTTAGTAAAGTACATGATGGATGAAGAAGGAAGCCCTGTTGTGGCACACACCGTGGCAGTGTACTGTAGCAGCAGTCTCTAAGAGCAGCCTTACAATGCTTTGTATTTAC